AGGGCGGGGGGCTGGACTCGATGACCTCTCGAGGTCCCTTCCAGTCCTATTATTCTATGATTCTATGAAAAGGGAGCTTGGTCCTGCCTTGAGGGCGGGGGGCTGGACTCGATGACCTCTTGAGGTCCCTTCCAGTCCTATTATTCTATGATTCTAACCCCTAGATCCTTTTCTGCAGGGCTCCTTCCTAGACAGTCACTTCCCATTCTGTGCGTGAGACTGATTGTTCCTTCCTAAGTGGAGCACTTTGCATTTGTCCTTATTGAATTTCATCCTATTTTCCCTCAGACCATTTCTCCAGTTTGTCTAGAACATTTTGAGTTGTAATCATAGCCTCCAAAGCGCTTGCAGCCCCTCCCAGCTTGGTATCATCCAAATACTGTATAAGCAGACGCTCTATGCCATTGTCTAAATCAGACAATATTGAACAGAACTGGTTCCAAAACTGATCCCCACAGAGCACCTCCCTTTCTGCCCTTCCAATGTGACCCACTGTGACCACTGATAAATACTCTCTGGAAACGGTTATTCAACCAATTATGCACCCACCTTATAGTAGCTCAGTCTAGGTCAGGGGTGGGGAGCTGGATGTGACCCCCAGCTTTCCTGGGTCCAGCCACTGAGGCTCAGAACCCTCTCCCCAGCACTGGGGAGTCCAAGCTGGCGCGCCAACCTCCCCGCTGTCCCATGCACAAAATCTATTAGCCTGCCCTCTCCCTCATGCTTTAGTATGCAAGGGGAATGTGGGGAGTGCCTTTCTTCTCCTCAGTCAGAGGTCACATCAATATGGGTTTGGGGTTCTCTCATGTGTGTGGGCCCCTGACTGATTTTTCTGTGGGTGAGCAGCCCTTGGCCCAAAAACAGTTCACCCCGATGTAGGTTGTGTTTCCCTAGTTTGTTATGTGAGGGGGCTTTTATTTTGTTGTCCTGTTTTTTGCATTTTCTGTTCCTTCTTGCTCTATGTCCTTGTCACGAGCCGTTGCGATGACAAGACATTGAAAGAAATTATTTGTCAGTTCTGTTTCACATTCAGTCTGACGCTTAGATATTCATATGCAGCTTTCTGTAGATCTAAGTATTCTCCCTTTCAGATGAGGACACTGAAGTATTGAAAGTTAAAACGCTTGGCCACGGTCCCAGACAGATAAAACCCAAGAACACCAAAACAAGCCCATTCCTTACACTTAGCACTAAACTCACACTCCTCACAGCTGAAGACATAACTAAGAATTCCCGACAATCCCTTGCTCTGATCACTAGACCATGTTTCGTGAGTAACCACCATCCAACACACTTCATCTTGCTCAAGTACATCGGCACAGGTAAGAGTTTCTCCCACTGAGTCTGAGTGAAGAAAAGATTTTACATGACAAGTTAGTGTAAACTTCTGCCAACTTTTATTGTTCCAGCTGCAGAATCCATCATGGAAAGCTGCTATCAAAGGCAGGTTGGTTGTGAAAGATTCATGCAGAAACTGCTTCAAAATAATGAGGACTGGCAGCATTTGCAAGTCCCATGGTAGCTATAGGACTCATCTAAGCTCCAGGGTATTTCTACAGGCACTAGCCAAATGAGTGAAGCAGAAGATGCCATAGGGAAATGGGACAGAATTTATGAACTAGAGAAAAAAAAAGTGTTCACGACATCTATTCGCTGACAGTCCTGCATGATTTATTCACAAAACCAACAACATACCTGCATGGTGCTTTAGCAGACAAGTCCCTGGCTCAAAGAGTTGACAGTATAATTTGAATAGGTTGAGGCAGATGCCTCAAAGGGAAAAGAGCTTATTGTCATTAGAAAGGCCAGGCAAAAGCAGCAGGTGTGATGGAGCAAGACACTGAAACCCTCAGATCTGCTTTGCAGTGCTGTAGCATATCAAGTGAACCCCAGAACCTACAGCAGGGAAAAACGATCCAGGGGTGTTTTGCATTAGTTCAACTCCTCACCTTCCCGGAACCCGCAATGCCAAATACTCGGAAGGTCATTTACATCAACTAACGCATGGAGCGGAAGCATTTCTAATGCACAACCCTTTGGAATGTTGCCACTGAACGATGCACTGCCCATGGAGGCTTTAAATCAATGGGTTGCCACCTCCGGTTTGAAAAGTAGCCAACATATCTATCCTCTGGCTTTCACAAGCAACATTTCCTGGAGGCTGAGAGAGAGAGGGGTTTGTCACTAAAGCGTGGGGGAGTCAAGAGTGCCCTGCATGCCCTCCCGCAGCCAGCAGACAGGACAGAAGGTTTATCAGTCAACAGGAACACAGCGTAGGACAGATTTGTCAACACAGAAGACCAAATTGTTCAGTAAAATCCATCTTTGGGAGAGGGGAGCCCAGAGTTAGGTGGGCAGCCAGTGAAACTCAGAAGGCTGGTATAAGTTACATCTGTGTGCCCCACAGTTCCTGTGCCCCAAGCCAGCTGAGACTCACCCACTGCCTGGTCCTAGCCCCCCTACTCCTCTGGCCTTTATCCTGCTTCCAGGTCAAAAGGTGTCACCTGGTTGCACCCCACCCAGGCTCAGGTTATGAAGGGCATCTTCATTGTCAGCCATTGTGTACATGGGGGCAGCTGGAGTAGCTTGCATGGGTGAAGTCACACCCGAAATGCCTATCACCATCTAGGGATAGAGAAACTGAGGCACACATGCTATAGGACGGTAGAACTCGCATGCAACATAACAAGGTGAATAAAATCTCCACTTCATCACAGGATCCAAATTCTGCTCCATCAAACTAGTCTTAAGATGGAATCATTCTACAAAGTCCTCTTAGTATTTACCCCCTACGCATGAGGTGCTAGGATATTTTCCGCAAGACTTCCTAATTCAGAGAGCGACTAAAATTGTCCTCCGTTATTTCCTGAAGAATAAGAGGATTTTTGTTGAAGAGATGTCAGGAGACTAGAAAAAGCTGCACACCTAACTCCTTGCACATGCTGCGCATCTTTCGGATTTTAAAGCACTTGGTAAAAGCTACTATCCCTGGTTTTGTGTTGGGAAAATACCTGCCTTGCAATGCCTGGGGATTCTGACGCCAAAGCCAACATCTGCTCCCAACACAGATGCAGCCAATAGGGCAGAATTGGAAGACGTTCCTCCACCACATCACACTTTACAGGTGCAGAAAGCATGGCCAGGATTCCTCTGATCTTTTGCTACCATATCCCAGCACTTTGGAGGTGTGGATGGCCAGTGTAACTCAGAAGGCTGGTACAAGTTACTTCCAGGGGCTAGATTAGCCCACAGGCAGCCCCGAACAAGGAAGTACAGAGCGTGTGCTCCAGTCATGGATACAGCGGCAAGGAGTCCTGTGGCACCTTATAGACTAATTGAAGTGTAGGAGCATAAGCTTTCGTGGGCAAAGACCCACTTCGTCAGATGCATGTAGTGGAAATTTCCAGAGACAGGTATAAATATGCAGGCCAGGATCAGGCTGGAGATGATGAGGTGGATCCAATCAAGGAGGATGAGGCCCACTTCTAGCAGCTGATCTGAAGGTGTGAATTCCAAGAGATAAGCTGCTTTTGTAGTTAGCAAGCCATTCACAGTCTGTGTTTAATCCAGAGTTGATTGTGTCAAACTTAAAGATGAACTGTAGCTCAGCAGTTTCTCTTTGAAGTCTGGTCCTGAAGTTTTTTTTGCTAACTTGCTAACTACAAAAGCAGCTTCTCCTCTCTTGGAATTCACACCTCCAGATCAGCTACTAGAAGTGGGCCTCATCCTCCTTGATTGGATCCACCTCGTCATCTCCAGCCTGATTCTGGCCTGCATATTTATACCTGCCTCTGGAAATTTACACTACATGCATCTGACGAAGTGGGTCTTTGCCCGTGAAAGCTTATGCTCCTACACGTCAGTTAGTCTATAAGGTGCCACAGGACTCCTCGCCGCTTTTGCAGATTCAGACTAACACGGCTACCCCTCTGATACTTGACAGTCATGGATACAGGCTCTTGAATTAGTTTCCTGCCTTGAAGGAACAACATGGCAAATGGTCATTGCTCAGAGCAGTGAAAATTAACTATTGGGGGCAAGGAAAGTAACAATGTTTGAGGGGCGGTGAATAGATGGAGCCATAACCCAGTGAGGTTTCTAAGGGATCACATTCACTTTCCCTCCCTTCGTGTGCACTGACATTTACTTTTAGCTAGCACAGGATCATTTCCACCCCATGTACCCATCGTTGTGTAGAGGGCAGCAAACATGGCCTTCTCCAGGGCACTCCCACGCTTTCCAACACCATGGGTCATCAAGACAACTCACCAGGAGCCAAAAAGGCAGCATCTAGACTGCACTAAGTAAACAGTTTTATAGATCAAAAATAAACACACTGCCAAGCCTCAGCTCCTCCCAAGGGAGAACCTCAAAGGTACTCTACAAACCTAGAAGTAGCAATTATAATCCACTTTACAGATAGGCAAACTGAGGCAAAGAGCAATAAGCGACCTAAGCAAAGCAGCAGCAAGAATGGGACTATGGATGTTAAACAGCGGTTAGTGAGCTAATCGAGTAGGCGATGGAATTTTCATCGCCTACGTGATTAGTTGACAAGAGAGTTCGCTGCAGCTCTGCTTTTTAAATGTAGTAAGAGTCACCAGGCTCATGCTACATTTGAAAGGCAGAGCTGCAGCGATCTGGGACTGGACGCGTGCTGGGACTCAGCTGTCCTGGCTCACACCTGGTCCCAGCCTGCTGCAGCTCTGCCTTTCAAATGTAGCATGAGCCTGGTGACTCTTACTACATTTAAAAAGCAGAGGCGCAGCATCTAGGACCCACTCCACTGTGCCTCTACCTCCCCAACTCCCCGCGGAGATGGTGCCGGGGGGAGCCAGCTTTTAAGCCAGCACACAAGAAGCCCTATTCTGTGGCCTTTGTGAAATCAATGGCAGTTTAACTTGCATAAGGACATAATCAGACCCTTTCTGCAAGTGGATGTGGGGAGGGTGAAAGTCACCCCACAGTACACATTTCATTCAGACACAGGAAGAGAGCAGTTTTGTTTTGGAGTTTTTAATACAAACGTTAACTGATCTGGATGTAAAATGGGCTCACGAGGCACAGTGAGTAACCTCAGTACAACTTTACAACATAAGCCGGAGCAACAGAATGGAGCTCCATGGGATACTGTATCAATTCAACATTTCTAGGGAGCATCGGCTGAATTTGGCTTACAATTCCCAGCTTCTATATACCTGGCAGAACAGGTGTGGGATGCACGCAGGAGAGGGGAGCCCAGGACTGCAATGGACAGCCAGTTCTTTAAAAGCATCAGAGAGCCACTTCAAAAGCAATGCAAGCTCCCAGCTGGGAAGCCGTCTCACCAATCCTTTTGCTATCACAGTAGGGCCTCCTCCGGCCATATTTGCTGTTGATGATCCAATTTTTCTAATGCTAATTCCCACTGCCAATCTGGAAAATGTTAAATAAATAGAAAGCAGCCAACACAGTGTATTATTTACAATAAAGCTGCCCTTTCTTCCTGCCCTTTGACATTGTGGGAAGGACAGCTCGTGGGCACTGTATCTATTGCATTAAAACTCGGTCCACTGGATGAGCTGGAGAACATTCTAAATGACCATCATGAAAGCAGCAAAATTCCCCAGGAACTTGGCCTTTACTCGTCCGATTTCCCATCATCCTTTTTTGGGTCCTGGTATTCATCACTGCTGTCATCCTGTATGATCTCAACCTCAAGGCGACCGATGTAGAGAGAGATGGCGCACAACCAGAACAGTGCCACAGTTGTGACCGCCGCGCCATTCAGCAGAGCCGTGGAGAAAGCAAGCATCATGGTGCGGCGGAGGAGGAAGAGGCTGACAAGGTAGGAGGCGCTGCCGTAAGAGACACAAATCCCACCGAGGATGAAGAAACCTAGAGAAGAAACAGACAATGAAATCCATCTGTAGATGTGGAGCAGGGATGGTTTACCAAACTATGTATGGGAAATATCCGAGCACCTTACAATCTTAAATGTATTTATTCTGATAACAGCCCTGTGAAGTAGGGGAGTGCTAAGACCCCATCTGTACAAAGGGGTAAAAAAACAGGGAGAATAAGTGATTTGGCCAAGGTCGTGCATGAGTCTCTCTCAATCCTAACCTAGTGCTCTAACTTTTAGGCCATACTCTTGCTTTGTAATGGAGCCAGGGCCATACTTATTATGACAGGCACTGTGCTGGACCATTGCTAGTTGCTTGCCAGTTTCCCTGGTTAACGTAGGCATGGGAGAACTGTTCCAGACTCCCTAAGGAGTTGTCCCCATCCACACAAGTCAAGCAAGGTGTGCTAGAACACTGTATTAAGCATAATTCTGCCAGTGCAGATAATGCCAGTGCGTCTTCCCTCTTCTTTCACCACTTGGGATTTAGGCTTTAAGGAAAAAACTTTGTACATGTTGTTCTTCAGACTGGTTTCTAGATAGGTAGAAAGAGTGGTTAAAAGCACATGACTAGCCCTGGGATTTATGGGTTTTCTTCCCAACTCTGCCACCGATTCCTCTGTTAGTCTCAGGCTGCAGAGTCGAGTTGCAAGCACTGCAAGAAATCAAAATCCCAAATGGCTTTCATTGCAAACAAACAGATCAGGTCAGTTTTTAAAAACAGAACAAGAGCTAAAATTGGCCTGAACTTCCTGTCTTAAAGGTCAAGAACTCCTCAGCTGGATACAGCTCAACAAGAAACCCACAAAATTCTTCATAACATGAGCCATCTTCCAAGTACAATTTTTCTCTTCAGTTTTGTAGAACCATTGCACCACACTGTGGCAAGTTTTAAAATAACCACTCAACCCAAAGTCCTCGTGACTGTCAAATATTTCTCGTGCACGTCCGCTCCCTCCCCAGCCAATCTCTATGCTGTTTGCGTGCAGAAGAAAGCAACAAGATTTCTCCTCCTACTTGATTCATCTATGTCCCAGTCATCACACTGCTTTCTTCATAGGGAAATAGGAGGCTAAAAACTAGCATGTGGCCTCAGTGCACAAATCAAGCAAGCTGAGATTAAAGGACTGACACAAATACACAGTTGTGTAGCACCTTTCAAAGGATCTCAAGTGCTTTATGCAAACATGTATGAGATCTCTGGGTACTCAGGGGAGGAGACAGTATTATTCCCATTCTGAAGATGGGGAAGCAGGCAAAGAGAAGGGACGTGACCTACCCAAGATCTAATCCATTAAGTCTACAGCAGAACCAAGACTGGATCGCTAGAGGCCTGCACCAGAGAGAAGGCAGGTCTGAGCTTGTACTATGTTTTGGGACACTCAAATCACAGTGCTAGGTAAGGTCCCCGTGTCATTAACAAAGGACTATGAGTCAAAAAGTTTGTTGTGACCAAGTGTGTATGTTTTACACACTGACAACAGCCACACCCTTCCAGCACACATGGCTATCAACACTGGATCTTGTCAGGCAGTCACATGCTTCTGAATAGTGATAGAAATGTAGCCGTGTTAGTCTGGGGTAGCTGAAGCAAAATGCAGGACAATGTAGCACTTTAAAGACTAACAAGATGGTTTATTAGATGATGAGCTTTCGTGGGCCAGACCCACTTCCTCAGATCAAATAGTGGAAGAAAATAGTCACAGCCATATATACCAAAGGATACAATTAAAAAAAATGAACACATATCATACTTCTGACAAACCCTTGGCAGAAGTCCCATAAGACTGGCGAAACAAGACAACTTGAATTTCCCCAAACAGGAAACCTTGTGTGCAACACAATTGCCTCACAAGAGAAACGCCATTTCTGCAAATGGATAGATTGATGCCCTCGGATATAAAGATCAAACCTGGTATTTTTTCCTCCAATGAGTGCACCTGATTTCAAGATTCTAGGGGCAGGCAAGACAGTCTCCGTGGGCTGGATCTGCCCCCCCCAAGCTGGTTGATGTGGCCCATGGCCACCCCTCCAGACCAACTGATCTGGGGATGGGGGAGCACACAAAAAGTCTCCTCCACCGCCAGGGGCAGAGGGAACCAGAGGGAACCACTAGCTGTTCTAAAATAGCTGGTGGTTCTCTCTAGCTACTGCCTTCTCCCCCCAGAGGGGGGAGGGGGAGAGGAGAGAAGACTTCACATGCTCCCCCACCAACCAGTGTCTGTGGGCGGGGGAGCACGAGAAATCTTCTGGCCCTGCCCCTTCCAGGGAGGCCCAAAGCCACTTCAGGAATTTGTGAAATGGCCTCCCCTTTAAAAATAATCGCCCATTCCTGTTCTTGCCCAATGGGAGCAAGCAAGTTAGTTTCACAGTCTCCCTATTACAGATAGCTGTATCATACATACATTTTTACATCACTCTCTAAATCTCATCTTAGGGCAGCTACATCTGCTTTTCTAAGGCCTAGGGAACTGTTTCCCAAATGCTGTTCCATGGAACCCCGGGGTTCCACCAAGTGAAAATAAGGATTCTGCGAGAAAATTCCATTACAATAACATTTTATGATTTACAAAAATAATAATAAATATTATGTGATTTTTGTTTTTAAATATGTGCAATTAAACTAAATGTTGATCTCATGACCTTGTTTAGCATTTTTTTTATTATTATCCTTACTTATTTGTGATCTGCTTTTTCAGCGCCATATATCAGACTAGAATTAGGTGTTCTGCAAAATTCTTTAGTGTTTAAAAGGGTTCTGTGGCCACATAAAATTGGGAAATACTGGCCTAGGGTGCAGCACATTTATACACATTACAAATCATTTCTCTCTAGGGTATAAAGGTCAGTTTGCTGCCACTTTAGCATATCTGCTAGTTGCTTCCTCATTTCATAACAGCTTTCCTGGAGCACAGTCATCACACAGAGAAAATGCATAACCCAAGAGTTCAAACTCAGTAACTTCTAACAGCTGCAACCTGTATTACAATGCATGTCTACATCTTTTCAACGGCTCTCTCAAAGTGTGCTACAATGAGGGTTTTCTCACCATTTTACAAACTGAGAAACTGATATAGGGGTTAAGTGAATTGTTTAAGATTGTTACTCAGGGATTCATGGGCTAAGCTGGACACTGGATTGATGCAGGACTCTCAGACACGTATGGATCCTATAACCACTATTCAGAGGCATTTTACAGACAATTTCACTACTACAATGCAGGCGCCAACAAGCCCTGGGCAATAATTTTTTATGGGGGGGCCAGGTAAGTGGTCTCAGTCTGCACTCTTCCATGATATTAAAGAAGGAAGTGGAATCTGGAATGGAGGTTGGGAGCAGAAGGGAGTTCACAGTAGGGGATTAGGGTGCAGGAAGGAGTGTGGGGTCTGGGAGGGAATTTGGATGCAGGAGGGGATTGTGACCTGAGTGAGGGTATTGGGGTGCAGGATCTGGGAGGGGCTATGGGTGCAGGAGAGGAATGTGACCTGGTGGAGGGCTGTTGGAGGGGTATAGGAGGGGCTATGTATGCAGGAGAGATTGTGGGGCAGCAGTGCAGGAAGGGGGTACAGAGGGTTTGGCCTATGATCTGGATCAAGAAGTTGGGGTGTGGGAGAGGGTGGGGCGCTAGGTGCAGGCTCTGGCTAGGAGGTGCTCATCATAGGAAGCTCCTGGTCAGCAGCCCAGAGGGACCTTTAGGCAGACTCCCTGCCTGCCATGCCCCCATGCCCCCTTTTTTTTTAGGGGGGAGAGCCCTCCATGCACTGCAAGCATGGCCCAGACAGCTCCCATTGACCAGTTTCCAGCCAATGGAATCTGCAAGACTTTGCTAGGGGTGAGGAGAACACATGAAGGCCCTCTCCCACAGGGTGCATAGCATACAGAGAGCATGTGACCCCCTGCAGCCAGCTGTTTAGAGTGGTACATGGAGGTGTTGCAGGCAGGGAGTCTGCCTGATTTTGCCAGATTTTGTCCGCCCCAGGTCCAGCATGTAGATATGCACTAAGGCAATTTCAAGATGTCTATTAATTTCTTCATATAGACTATTATAATCATATAGGCCAGTATAATCAACTAGCTAAAGATCTATACAGACAATATATTTACAATATATTGTCAATAACAATTGTCAATCCAATAATAACAAATTATTAATGGATTCTAGGGGCAGAAGTGACCACTGATGATCTCATCTAACCATCTGCATTGCCTAGATCATAAACCTTCCTTGGTCTTACAGGTAGAGAAAGCATCTGCTATAACCATGAACTGTTTTATTAAATGTATTAATTCCATACACACTGGACTGGGTTGCTTCATCCATCACCTCTGGAATTGGACATTGCCTGACAGGACATAAGTGAACTGACCTTACTCACAAAAATCAACATTTCCGTGATTAACCTGGTGACAATAGCACTTTCCCCTGGTACTCATCTATAGCACGAGTTACTTACCATAAGCTGCCTCTCGTCCCATGTCACTCTGAACATAAGAAATTACTCCGATACCTGTTGCCAGCAAGCCATTGCGAAACCAGGACAGAAAACCTGAGTAGAGAACAGGAGAAAGCTAGAGTTTCCTCTTCTTCAGCCATTTGTTATTTCATTTATACTGCTACCTGTTGTGGTAGAGAGGACATGAGGAACGATTATATTGAGAACGCAAATCCTTTAAAAGATTAACTGTCACAGCATCAGGTTTTGGTCTATAGCATGTTTATCCCGTTCATATTTACAGCATGGGAACACAAGCAACTGCAGGACTCCTCAGCATCCAGCCTCCACACGGTCCTGTTGTTTCTCAAACCTCTGTCACCTCCATATGAAATTCCAGAGAGATGCCTTAGAAATACAATCTATCAAACCTAGGTGAGAAGGGCAACCATAAATTGCTCATTTTTAGCATAGGTTAAAATCCTCCTTGGATCTCTGATTCTGGCTTTATCCTATGAGAACCCACTTTCCCTTTTCAGTCTAGCATCCTATCAAGTTTGAGATATAAGTGAGAGGATTATTCTGGGAGGGGTGGGTGAGATTCTGTGGCCTGCACTGTGCAGGGGGTCAGACTAGATGATCATAATGGTCCCTTCTGACCTTAAAGTCTATGAGTCTAAGTTAACGGGTAGCTGCATTATCTTAGGTTGCAGTGTTTAAGCAGGGCACACTATGAATAGGTGGGGAAGATTCCAAGCCCACATGCTGCAGGATGCACCAATGATTCAGCCGGTACTGATAAAAATGCCCTCCACAGGATGCAAAGGGAAACTGTACAGCAGCATAGTGGTGATGGAATAAGGGCCCTCGTCTTTGTCTCATTACTGACTTAGGCAGCCCAATATGGTATGAAGGGGGGTGCTATTTTGTACAGAAAACATAGAAGCAGCATCCTGATTACTTGTACCAATTAAAATTCTTCCACCACATTTCACAAGTGACAGGAGGGGGAGCCCAACTGGGAAACTTTCATTATGACCTTTTAGTCCCCCTGTAGCAGATAAGGGATTCTCTCTCACTTCCTGTCCCAAGTTATGATGTAGCATCACTGCATGGCTGCTAAACAGCAGCCACCAATGAACCCAAAGAGGGGAGGTGAAGTGATACCAACATCTACAGTTGCACCACTTTGTCAATGTCCCACATTATGCCCTCCCAGCCTTCATGACAACTCCCTCACTGCAGCGTCCCCTAAACCATCTTCCCACAGCAACTCTTATGTGCTTCTCCCACCTGTTCTGCAGCCAGGAGCTCCCTACTCCATCCCTGTCATCAGGCCAGCTGCAGCTTTGCGCAGTCCCATCCTCACCAGCCTCACATTGCACGGTTCTCTACTTCATCCTCAACTGCACCCTCTACCACCAGCCAAGCCCCTACGCTGCACTGTCCCTGTCACCCACCCCGTCCACATACCTCCCTTCACATCTCAAGTGGCAGCAGCCCAGCCCCCACAATGCCTCAGACCACATCCTACGCTAGGACTGACCATCTACCAACCCATACCAGCCTCTCCACTGCCATCATTCAATGTCACTGACCTTCCTGTGCCACCACCCCCACATGCTGTGCTGCCCCAAAGCCTCATATCCCAGTCCCCATTATCGTTCACCCTGACCCCGTTCCTTTACAGCACCCCACAAACTCCTTCCACCAGAGTCCCCGGCCCTTATAGCACCCCCACCACAGGCCTCCACCCCCAACCACAGTCTCCTCCTAGCCCCCCACAACCCCATTCCCACTGCCCTCCATCGCCACACCCTTCCCCCTCCCCACAGCAATGTTCCCTGTAAGCTGCACGTTTGTGTGGCAGGAGAGATTCAAATGTCACCCATTAGCAGAGTGACCACAGCTAGGGTGTTTTTTTTCTATTGGTGGTGCACGTTTGCACGTGCTTTGGTGCACATAAAAAATTATTCCACACACGGATGGAAACAAATCCGTACACAGATGAAAAAGATTAGTGGGAACATTGCCCCACGGCCACCCCCAGCATAGCTCCCTTCCCACTCCGCACAGCCCTCCCACATTATGGGCCCCTTCCCCCCCAAAACCTCCTTCCCACCCCATGGCCTCCTTTCCCCCGCCCCACAGCCCCACCATGGGCTCCCCTTCCCACAGCCTCGCTATCCCCTTAGCCCTCTTGCCACACCATGGCCGCCTCCTCCCTCCACACAG